AAAAATAGGGGAAAAAAACAAAACAAAAAAAGAAAATAGTCTGACTCATAGAGACCCTTTTGGACAGAGTAGACCTACCCCACGGGATTTCTAGGATTGCAAACCTTTCAAGAACTCTTAAATCATTCCTTTGGAACAGCTGATGGGCTCAATCCCTTGGCAAGTAAGTGCTGTAACGATGGCACCACCAGGGCTCCTGCATTCACAACAGCAATCATCATCAAATACTGGCATCTAATTTGCTAAGCATGGAGATTACAAAAGGCAAGACAATGCTTTTAAAAAACACCCAAATGGATCAAGGAGATTACCATTTATCCTGGTAAAATGAATGAAGACCAAGAAATACATAATGAAATGCATTGTTAATTTATGATCAATAAAGCAACATGCATGGTTCCTTTGTTACACTATCTTTTCATTTTAAGATTTTAAGCTTTAGAAAGTACAAGATATTGTTTCATTCATCCTGGCATTTGGAAAACAGTATCCTGCACCAACAGATATCAGTCAATATTTAAATTTTTAATTAGTGGATTCAGGCAATTATTGAAGAACATCAGGAAAACTAAGCTGACAAAAATAAAAGACCATACTAAGTTTGTAGTGAGACAAAAATAAGGGTGGCATGGTCCATGAGGAGATGCTCTTCTAACCCAAAGGCCACACCTCAGGTCGTTCCAATCTACCCATGGCTCTAAAGAAGAAAGATGAGCAATCTCCTCCCATATTTACAGACTCAGCAATCCAGTGGAGGCTCAGTTTCTGAGAAGAGAATACAAAAGGGTACTTTGTTGTCACTGTTAGTACTGTGAAAAATGAATTTTCCCTCAAGGCAAATTTATAAGTACAGAGTAGAACTGCTCAGTTTTCAAGTCTGTGAAATTTTGAAAGCAGGTTGCTGGGCTTCCCAAAGAGCCTCTTGGAGAGTGAACCACCAACCTTTCAATTAGTAGTCTCACACTTAATAATTCCTCTACCTACAAGCAACTGAGGCTTACTTAAAGTTGCCTATAGAGTAGCAGACTGATAATTCAAAGGCTAGCAGTTTCAGTCCACCAACAACTCCATGTGAAAAAAGGGGGAAAAAATGGGCAATCTCCTTCAGAGATTTACAGAGTCCCTTTAGTCCAACTTAACTTGATGGTAGAGGGTAGGTTATAAAATTAAAGCAAACATAAAAAATAGGCTTAAAGTACAAGACTTACTCAAGTTTGTATTCTTTGGACCTACACCATCATGTTGTTGTTGTTGAGTGCAGTCGAGTCACAGGCAACGCATAGCGACCCTATGAGGAAAAATCCTCCACACTTGTGTCTTTCATCATTTGTCCAGGTTCATAGGGTTTCTGGAGGCAAGCTATTAGGGAAGTGGATGCTACTCGTGCTTCCAAGCTTGTTTTAATTGGGGAGCTCCCGCAAACACTGTCCACATTGGGTAACCAACCATTAATACATTTGTTCTATCAAACTCATCCTAGCTATCATTAAACAGCAGTAGTAAAATATAAGACAAACTTAAAACATACAAATTTAACTTTATTTGACCTGTCACCTAAAGCATGATTTTATCAAGCATAAATACGTTTTTAAAGAGTTCTGTGTCACAGGAAATTCAAAAGTAGAAAAACCCATCGGCACACATAAGTTAAAATCAAATAATTGGAAATTTTTCAACATGTAAACTATACATCTAAATAAATGGTGGTACAAATTAGATAAATTAAAATCAAATAATTGGAATTTTTTTCAAATGTGAACTATACATCTAAACAAAGGGTAGAACGACCTCAGTGCTTCATTATAGATTAGCTATTTTCAGGACTTAAAAAGATTCTGAATATTCATTCAGACATCTTTTGCCCAGTATAGTTTTATAGTTAAATACCATCCTGTCTATATTCTGCCTCAAACTACTTCACCAAATTATATGATTCAGGAAGTTATTTAGCTTTTTAGTAAGTTTTTTCCAACTCCAGTTATAAGCTTCAAAGGAATTAACATTAAAATGCTGATGAGAACTGCTGGTTCCCTTTTGAACAGTGTGTAATATTCTTTTGTGCTAATCTAGTTAGCCAAATACAATAAGGAGGGAATTTCACACTCTCCTCTAATTCATGTCAATGCCATGGAATATTAAACAGGTACAAAACAGATTACGCACAGTTCCAGAGTATCAAGTTATTACCCCATCTGAAAATTTACCTACAAAATAAAAGCTATCAACTGAGAGCTGACTTTGTTTTGGGAAAACCCATCTGAGCATTTCAAGTACATTTTTCTTATTATCTCTTCTCTCAGTCATTGACAGGAATTTTGTAGGCCACCATACTATTTACTTTGTGGATTGTAGTTGTGAAAGAACGTAGACGAACTTCCTCAGAATTAGTAACGAACTGTGGTCCTGATTCTTCCCATTTTTCAGGTACGACCAAATCTTTATCAGTATATATCAGCAGATCAAATGAACCTACATTGTGGATTTAAGGGAAAAAAAAAGTGTAAAGTACATAATAATCTTCCCTTTGTCTCTCACATTTTAGAATATTATTTAATACTATTTAGAATAGTATTAAAATATGCAATCTCCTCCCATTAAGATTTATAGTCTTACAGTATAGCTATGAATGCGAACCTACTAGACAGTAGTTGAGTTTGGTTTTTTGAGTTTATAGTATTAAATAGATTATCGTGATCTCTAGGCATTATTTAATCTTTTTTTCTCAATGGAAACAATATTTTAAACAGAGAAAATATTGTACCCTTCTACTTTATTACACAAAAAGGCATGATGTTCTCAAATTCCTCTGTTAAAGAGAAAAACCATCAAAACGACTGTAATAAATGCATTATCACAGAGGAGTGTTAATAAACCAAATGAATATAAAGCCCCACAAACGTTAACATGGTTTGCTCCCTCTCTGTACCTAGAGCATTGCTTAGCAAAGAGGAGGCATCTAGTAAAGCGCTGAAGAACTGAATTCAAACAAGTATATAATATACACAAACACAACGAAAGTAATTACACCAAAATAGTCAATATTCGTGGGAATTGTGAATGTTATAACATCTCCATTTTTTAGAATGTATATATACTACTTGTTCTTCACAATGCCTTTGTTCTCATTTATATTGGATACTATGAATAATTAAGAAAAAAATAAGATTTTTTTAACTTAAAGTTCTTACTTTATGCTGGTTTACTTACAAAGTTTGTTTTTCACACCACATCTTTCTCACTCCTTCACCTCCCCTCCCTCTATTCATCAAATTATGTGACCCTAAGATTAACCATCCTCAGGACTCTGCTCCCACCCGCCCCTCCTTGGATCCTCATACATGTTCTACAATAATGGTCTTATACAGTATTTGTCTTTATGGGACTGAGTTAGTTCACTTAGTATAATCTCTCCAGTACCTCCTAAGTAAGGTAGTGATTTACAAAATCATTGCTCCTGCATACTGTGTAGTAGTCCGTTGTGTGAATGTACCATAATTTCTCAATCTTTTCGATTGTGGTTGGGTATCTGGGTTGTTTCCATGTTTTTGCAATGATGAATAATGTTTCTATGAATGCTGGTGTACAAGTCTCCATTTGTGCCTCAGTTCTCATTTTCTCAAGGTATATTCCAAGCAGTGGAATAGATGGGTCATACAGAATTTCTATGTGAAGCTTTTTGATGAAGAAATGTCATACCTTCTAGAGTGGTTGTAACATTTTACAATCCCACCAAAAATGCAGAAGTCTTCCTATCTCACCATATCCTCTCCAACATTTATTACTTGCTGTCCTAGTAAAGTGTGCCACTGCTACTGGAGATCGTATCTCATTGTGGTTTTGATTTGCATGCATCACACTGCCAGTGATTTTGAACCTTAAAAGATGATTTTTAATTAGCTGTTGTTGTTACGTGTCGATGACTCGCCTGCAACTCATAGTGACCCTATGTACAATTGCTCTGAACCTTGCCCTATCCTGAGCCAATTAGATCATCTCAGACAGACCTAATCCCATTTCTCCAGTCACCGAATCAATGCATCTCATCCTGGGTCTTCTCCTGCACTATCCCTCCAACCTTCTAAACATGATGTTCCTCTCCAAAGACTGGTCCGCCCTGGGCACGTGCCCAAAGTATATGAGATGAAGCTTCAAAATCCTTTCCTCTGGGGAGCAGCTTGGTTTCATTCTCTCTAGTATCGAACTATTTGTTCTCCTAATATGTTCAAAACTATTCTCCAGCACAACCCACAGGCATTGATTCTTCTTTTACCATCCTTAGTCATTGTCTAGCTTTCTGACATATAGCAAATACTTGACATACTGCCAAGACTGTGGCCTGGGTCAGGTGCACCTAAGACCCCACACTGGTATCGTTGCTCTTCAGTACTCTAGAGAAGTCCCTGACAATAGACTTTCCAATGCAATTAATCTTTTCAATTTCTGACTGCTGGTGCCAAGAGTCTTGACTGTGAAGCCAGGCAAGTTAAAACTGTTAACAATCTCAATCTTTTCTCCTGTCTATCATGAAGCTGCCAATTGGCCCATCTTCAATCTATATTAAAGACTATAGTCTTTGACCTTCTGCAGCATACACCTCATGTCCTCCTCAGTTCCAGCAAGCAATTTTGTGTCATCTGCATAATGAAGGTTGTTGATGAGTCTTCCTCCAATCTTGATGCCACATTCCTTCTCATCCATGGATGAAGTCTAGCATCCCAAATGATCTGTTCTGCATATAGATTGAAAAGGTATGAAGACAAGATGCATGCATCCTTGACACATACCTTTCCTGATCCTGAATTATGTCCCTGCTTTGCTCTGACTACTGTTTCCTGGTACAAGCATAGGTTTTGCATGGACACAATTTAGTCTTCTGGGATTCCCATTCTTCTCAAGGTTAGCCATAATTTGTTTAGATCCACATAGTCAAATGCCTTTGCATAGTCAATGAAACAGACAGACATTCTTCTGGTACTCTCTGCTTTTGGAAAAGATCCACATAACAAAGGTTATGATGCCCCTAGTGCCACAGTCTCTTCAAAACCCAGCTAGCACACCTGGCATTTCTTTGCTGATGTACTGCAGGATCTGGCTGCATGTGATATTAATGATATTGTTTGGTAATTTCCACTCTTTGTCAGGTCACTTTTTGGAATGGGAATAAATATAGATCTCTCCCAGACAGTTGGCCAAGTAGTTGTCCTCCAGATTTCTTGGCATAACCTGGTGAGTACATTCAGGGCAGCATCTGTTTGTGGAAATGTCAACTGGTATCCTATCAATTTAGAGAGCTTTGTTCTTTGCCAATTCCTTCAGAGGAGCTTGAATGTCCTCCTTCAAAACCTTTGTCTTTTGATCATATGCTGCTTCATAAAATTCTTCTGTGTCAGCCAATTATTTTTGGTATAGTGACTGTGTGTACTCGTCCTTATTCTTCTGATGCTTCCTGGGTCATTCAACTTTCTGCCCTCAGAATCTCTAAGTACTGCAACTTGAGACTTAAACTTGTTCAGTTCCTTAAGAATTGCCAAGAGAGGTTGGCCCTTTTAATTTTCTGACTCCAGCTTTTTGCACATTTCATTATAATACTTTGAGAGCTTTGTCTTCTTGAGCTGCCCTTTGAACTCTTCTGTTCAGTTCCGTAACTTCTTGATTTCTTCCCCTTACTTTGGCACTCTAGGGCAATATTCAGAGGCTCTTCTGATATTCACCTTGGTCTTTCCTTTCTCCTCTGCCTTTGTAATGTCTCTTTGAATTCTCCATGGATTGTATTTTTTATATTCTCCCACAGCTCATCAGTTCTTCACTCATTAGTATTCAGGACCTCAAACCTGTTCCTGAGATGGTTTTTAAATTCTAGTGGGATAGACTCGAGGTCAAACTTTGGTTCTTGTGGATTTGACTTTCTTTAGCTTCAGTTTGAACTTGCCAATGAGTAGGTGATGATCCATCTGTTCTCTAATGAACACCTGGCCTACTTTTCACAGCTGATATTGATTTAAATAGTAGCTTAGTCATTTTCCCATGTTATGTGCTGTTGAGCTGGAACTGACCCTCCAGTGGGTTTTCAGAGGCAGTATATCTCACAGGAGGTTGCCCATCCTTCTCCTATGGAGCAGCTGGTGAATTCAAACCTCATGCCTTTGGGACTGCAGTGCAGTTTGAATAAGAAGTTTATAAATACTTACAAGAAACTTCCAAGAGGGGCAGGAATGTTACTGTAGCTGTGATCTGTCTGATCACCGAACGGATTTCATCTTGGATAGCTTTTTGAGATTTTTCTCTAGGTGCACTACAAAGAAACCAAAGATTTAAATAATAATAAATCAATATTTAAATCTTAACAGGCTACTGAGAACATATTCGCCAAAACTAACTGAGATAAAATAGTAAGTGATTCATAGCTAGCCTTCTACTGAGTTTCCAACACAGTAAACTGCATGGAATGAGACTGCCTATCTTTTTCCCTTGGAAATGTCTGTATAGTAATTAGTAAATAAGATTAGTTACCTGCTTAACGGATTCTGAAATCAAACAAGAATTCAGAATAGTCTATTAAAAAATAAGTCAAACTACTTTAATGACTTTTCTTAGTTTTATTTAGTCTCTTATTCCTCTTTTAAAATTGGTCTTAGTTGTTGTTAGGTGCTACAGAATTTAGTACAACTTTCTGCGACCCTACGAACAGCAGACCTGTACTCTGAACTATCCTATGCCATCTTTATCATCTCTGACACACTAGAACCCATTGCTAAAGTCATCATATCACTTCACCTCCTTGGGTGTGTGTGTGTCTTCTTCTCCTCTTTGTTGACTGTCCATCTTCCCAAGCATGATGCCCCTTTCCAAGGAATAGCCTCACCTAGCTACATGTCTAAAGCATGAAAGACGAAGGTTGGCCATCTTTGCTTCCAAAGAACACTCTGGCTGATTTTTTTCCCAAGTTCTATCTGTTTGCTCTTTTGGCAGTATATGGGATATACAGTATTCTTCTCCAACAACACAAGTTAAGGTCATCAGTTCTTTTGTCATCCTTATTCATTATCTGGCTCTCATATGTAAGTGACTGATAAGACCAAGGCCTAAATCACACCTTGGTATTACTATTATTATTTACCATCAGATGATTAGAAAATGAGCCAATCTCTTTATAAGTCAGGAAACTTCAGCACATCTTAAAATAAGAAAGATCTTTTAAGTAGAAATATTTAATCATCATTTAGGTTTTTAGTAATACTAATAGTGGCATCCACTTCCAAAATAGCTAGCCTTTGGAAAGTCTATGAATGTGGAGAAACAATGAAAGTTAAACGAATGTTCAGGTCTTTCATTCACAGGGTTGTTATGAGTCATCTATGATTTGACGGCTCTTAACAACAACTCCTAATGTAGTGAACTCTCATGGCCCAGTGGGTAGAGTTAAGCTGCTAACCCAGAGGCAGACCGTTCAAATACTTTATCGGCTCTAGGGAAGGGAAAACTCCTCCCATGCGATTTGCAGCCTCTGAAAAAAACCTTAAGAGTAAGCTGTGAGTCGATTCCAACTCAAGGGCAATGAGTGGCTAAGTATGAACTCCTAGAGAAACAGTTTGAAGTTGCACATCAAACTAATCGTTTCTGAGTACCATCAAGTTGGAATCTACTCTTCACTAACCCTCCAGTGGGTTTTCAGAGGCGTTAATTGCACAGGATACTGCCCATCTTTTTCCTGCAGAGCAAGGTGGATTTGAACTATGTACCTTTGGTTTGATAGTGCAATTCCTTACCACTAAGCCACCAGAGCTCCCGCAAAATAGACTTATCATCTAAAAATTTCCTAAACAAAACTAACAGCTTCAGGTGCTAAGTCACTGTGAATAACAATTATAACTCTAAATTTACAGATAAGTATGTTAAGGACAAAATTTTAGTCTTCAGTTATGTACTGTCAAGTCTGAACTAACTAATATGTATACTGAATCAGAATATATATATATATTGACTAGCACTTTCAACACTGGAGTTTTCAAACTTCACTTAGGAATGTTTACGACACTAATAAGTATGTTTTAGGGAGTTCATGACATTAAATATATCACCAAATCATCCTAAGCTGAAGTTGTCTAAAAAAAGTCCTAAAGATTTAAGTACATTCCTTAAATGAACCACTTAGTACTTCTCATATAGTTTTGCATAAAATAACAAAAATACTACAGAAGAACAATTATGTTAACAAATACTATCAGTAGCAACCAATTCCGAAATGGCTTGCCTCCAGTAACTCTATGAACAATGCTCAAGTCTTTTCATTCACAGGGTCACTATGAGTCATCTACAACTCGATGGCACCGGCACCTAATAATAACCACCACTACCACCACCACCTTATACAAGATTTATTTTTCACAGGAAGAGTGAAGATTAAACTTACCTTAGAAACAAATTATGCAAGTTACCTTAAATTAAACTGGTGTATTTAATGCATTCAGAACTGACCTAGTACTGCAGATAAGCTTTGGAAAAACACATTTAAAAATATTAAAAATCATTTCATACTTACCTGTCATCTTTTGCAGTCTTGTCACACTCGATATCAAACTGCCATCTTTCCAGGACCTCACCACTTTCAATATTTGAGATGACTACCACCAGTTTCTGAACTGAACATTTGTATAACCAATCTGCAACACAAACAAGGCTTCTTAGTGCTTTGCACTCTCAGTCAAAGCAATCCTCTTCCTATTTTCAGCACATTTCTACTACTAATATTTTGGTCAACCTCCTTAGAAAACTTGTTCCATCAATAATATAGATTCTATTTTTAAATTATACATACATAATATATATGAGTGTGTGTGTATGATATATAAACCAAGTATAGTATTTATTGCTACAAATATAGGAAGCATAAGATTTTCATCTTCATCTAAACTAAGAGAATATAGGTAGTTGCTGTTGTATACCATTGAGGCAGGACCGACTCATAGCTAACCCTGCAGTAGGTCCTCAATGACAGTTAATTTCATAGGAGGAGACTGCCTATCTTTCTCCCATGTAGCAGCTGGTTATCTGAACTGTGTGCCTTTGGATTGACAGCACAATACCTTCTCATTAAGCCAGCAGGAGATGGGTATTAATCTAACCATCACAATAGCAAAAGTGAAATAACAATTGTGATGACTGCTAAAATAGATAAAGGACAAGGAGAACATGTAATTGGGGAAACTCATTTACTTAGGAGGTCAGGTAAGGCTTAAGGTTAGCTGTAAAGATCAAACAGCCTTAAATATGCAGAAAAGTGCAAAAAGGTACAGACCTTAAATACCTAAGGGAAAGAAGTGGCCCAAGGACTGAAAGAAGGCCAGCATAACAGTGAACAAGGTAAGAATAAACAAGTCTGAAAGATAAACAGGTGTCAGACCATGGAAAGTCATGTGGGTCAAATGAGGAATCAGTCCCAAGAACCAGGGAAGTGATTATTGTGTTTGAAGCAGGGTTTGATATAATTAGACTTCTAAATAATTTTTCTGTGATATTAAAAATTAATCAGAAGAGATCTAGACATTTAACTAGTGGTTTCTAGAAGAGATAAGGAAAGCATGAAGGAGGTTGTAATGGTAGATATGGAGAAATGGATAGATTTTATATTTGAAACTGTCAAAATTTACTACATTAGCTGTGAGTTAAGGAAGATGAACAAGGGAGGAATAGCTCCAAGTTTCTGGCTTTTATTACTGCTGGAAAGAAAAGTAAAAGTAGGCTCATCTTGTAGGTAATCTTAAAATTAATTTTTAATAGGAGGATTTTGATGATTCTCAGAGATAGACAAAGAAGCCACTGTATATATACATCTGTAGTTATCTGAGCTTTGGGTTAGATATAAATGTTTGAGACAACTAAGCAAAAGTTATTAGAAGCTATGTTATGTCAGTATTGGTGAAGAATAGCTAATATACAATGTTGTTGTTGTTTTGTACCATCCAGTTGGAACCAATCTACAGCTGACCTTCCAGTGGGTTTTCAGAGGCAGTTAATCACATGGGAGGGGATTGCCCATCTTTCTCCCATGGAGCAGCTGATGATCTTGAACCAAATGCCTTCAAGACTGCAGCATAGCTTCTTGCCACTAGGCCACCAAAGCTCCCTAATATATAACAGACTACCACAAAAATCCCACTATCTGTGTTATGCAGATGATACAACCCTGCTTGCTGAAACTGAGGAGAACCTGAAGCATTTGCTGCTGAAGGTCAAGGACTGCAGCCTTCAATATGGATTGAAGCTCAATGTCAAGAAGACAAAGATTCTCACCCCGGGCCAATTGGCAGCATCATGATAAAGAGATTGAGATCATTAACAGCTTTAGTTTGCTTGGCTCCACAATGAACACTCTTGGTACCAGCAGCCAGGAAATTAAAAGAGGAACGGCATTGGGAAGGTCTGCTTTCAGAGACCTCTCCAAAATACCAAAGAGCAACAAAGTCTGGAGACCAAGGTGTGCCTGATCCAGGCCGTAGTTTTTGCAATTACTTGCTATGCATCAGAAAGCTGGACAATGACTAGGGATGACAGAAAGAGAGGGTGAAACCAGGCTGCTTCTTGGAGGCAAGTATTCTGAAGCTTTGTCTGACATACTTTGGATTTGGGAGGGTGGAGGGACAGCAGAAGACCGTCCATGAGATCAATTGATTTAATGACTGGAGTAATGAGGGTAGGAGTGTCAGAGACAATGAGATTGGCATAGGATAGAGCAGGGTTTAGGCGTGTTGTACATAGGATCGCTATGAGTCACAGGTGCCTTGACAGCACATAAACAACAACAACTAAAAAAATAAACAAATCTGTCTTAGAAGAAGTGTGGTCCTTAGAGACAGGGACCTACTTTGGACATGTTATCTCCAGGAGAGGCCAGTCCTCTTAGAAATGAGAGGATCAACTAAGAATATCATTCAAGATAAATCAACAGTGCCTACTGCAACAGACTTAAGCACAACAAAGATTATAAAGATGAAAAAAAATTAAAAAAAGATTATGAAGATGGCACAGGATTGAGCAAGGTTTTGATCTGTTGCATAGTTACTATGAGTGAATATAGCACTTAACAATGCAAATGTCAGAGAACATCTAGAGATCATAAAGTGATAAGGAGGGGTCCTCGATGACTTTTGAGGTAATCTTTAAGAGTTGATATATTCAGAAGTCAGCAAGTTTCTGTAAAGACACAAAAGATAACATTTTAGGTCTTAGAGGTTACCTTTTGTTGTCACTGTTGTTATGCGCTGCTGAGTGTAGTGCTACTCACAGCAACCCCATGAATACAGAATCTGAACCGTTTCCTATGCTGTGCCACCCTGGCCAATTCCAACATATGTGAGACCACTGGTACTGTCACCAGTGTAAATCAATCTTGTTGAGGGTCTTCTACATTGACCATCTACCTTTCCAAGCATAATGTATTTTTCCAAGAACTGGCGTATCCAATAAACATGCACAAGGTATGCGAGACCAAGTTTCACCATTCTTGCCTCTAAGACGCTCTGTGGTTTCACTTTTTCCAAGAGAGACCTGTTTGTTCTCTTACCCTTACCAATCCATATGACACTCAAGTACTCTTCACTAACATCACATCTCAAAAGCATCAATTCTTAGTCATTGTCGAGCCTTCAGATGCACAGCAAGTAACTGAGATGACCACGGGTTGGATTAGACACACCTTAGTCTTTAAACTCACATCCTAGGTCTTTTTTAGTACTCTGGAAAGGTCCCTAACAGCAGATTTTCCCAGTGTGTTGTTTTTTGATTTCTTGACTGCTAGTACAAGGAGTGTTGACTGTGGATTAAATCAAGATGAAGTCGTTGACAACTTCAATTTTTTTCTCCATCATGTTGTTTGCCTACTGTCCTAGTGGTGAGGACTTTTGTTTTCTTGATGTTGAAATATAATAATAATCCATGTTGAATGCTAGTCTTTGATCTACAGCAAAAGCTTCTAGTCTTCCTCACGTGCAGCAAGCAAAACTGTCATCTGCATAATACAGGTTGCCGATGAGTCTTCTTCATGATTTGCTCCACATACAGATAGGATTGGAGAAAGGATATAGTCTTGACAGTCTCCTTAAACTCCTTAAGTCACTTTAAACTAAATGTTTTTCCCTTTTAGGCATAGTTTTCATACGATCACAATTAAGTGTTCTGAGATTCCCATTCTTCTCAATGAGAGGCATAATTTGTTGTGATTCATACAATCAAATCCCTATGCTGTTAGTAAAACAGACATCCTTCTGTATTTTCCGCCAAGATCAATTGTGACAGCAGCAATGATATCCCTGGTTCCAAAGCCTCTTCTAAATTCAGCTTGAATTTTCTAGAAGTTCTCTGTCAGTATACTATTCTTGCTGGTTTTGAATCATCAGCAAAAATTTTGTTTTCATGTGATATTAATGATGTTGTTGTTGTTATGTGCCGTCAAGTCGCTTGTAACTCATCGTGACCTTATGTACAACAGCTCTAAACTCTGCTCTGTTCTGTGTCAATCTCATTGTCTCCGACACACTCATCCCAATTGCCCCAGTCACAGAATCAATCCACCTCCCAGAGGGCCTTGCCGTCCTGCGCCTGCCCTGCACCCTCCCAAGCATGATGTCCTTCTCCAGGGACCAGTCCCTCCTTAAAACATGACCAAAGTATGTCAGACGAAGTTTCAGAATCTTTGCCTCCAAGGAGCAGCCCGGTTTAAAGCTCTCCAGGATAAATCTGTTTCCTTAGCAGTCCACAGTACCCTCAGCACTCTTCTCCAATACCAAAGTTCAAAAGCATTAATTCTCCTTCTATCCTCCCTGGTCATTGTCCCTCTCTCTGATGCATAACAAGTGACTGCAAAGACCATGGCCTGTACCAGAGGCACCTTAGTCTCCAGAAACACACTGTTGTTCTTCAGTACTTTAGAGAGGTCCCTAACAGCAGACTTTCCCATCACAATAAGTCTTTAATTTCCTGGCTACTGGTGTTGATTGTGGATAATGACAGGTAATTTGCACACTGTTAGATCACTTTTGGGAATGCAGACAAATATGGATCTCTTCCTCACAGCTGGCCAAGCAGCTGTCTTCCAGATTTCTTGGGAAAGCCTGGGGAATACGCCCAGGGATGCATCTAGTTCTTGGATTATATCAACTGGTATTCCATAACTTCCTGGAGCCTATTTTTTGCCAATGCTTCAGCACAGCTTGAACTTCTTTTTCCTTTACTATGGGAATCCCAGAACACTTGATTGCACTAATGAGAAACCTATACTTGGACCAAGAGGCAGTTGTCAGAACAATGTAAGGAAATACTAGATGGTTCAAAATAGGGAAGGGGTTGTAAGCCAGGGATGTGTCCTGTCTCTATACCTTTTCAACCTGTATGCAGAACAGATTATCCGGGAAGTGGGGCTCTATGAGGAGAAATGTGGGGTCAAGATTGGTGGAAGATCTATCAACAATCTGCGTTATGGAGATGACACAACCCTGCTTGCTGAAACTG